AATATAGTTATCTCGAAAATACCACGTAAAGAAAATTAGATTTGAGTGAGAGGTATAACTAGTGTTCTAAATAATGTAAGATGTGACTTGGCGGCAATATCAGGCCTTAAGATTTTCCGACCCTTGGCAAGTCACGATGTTTGTAAGGCGTGACTTACGGCGGTAATTTTCTATATAATTAATATTTTTATATGTATTTTCAACTATAATTCAATTTTATACACATATATGAGTTAAGGCGGTGTTTTGACAAATTTTAACGACAGGTGCAAGCCTTGGAGACATAGCGGAGCTATGACCAGTTTTTTAGAACCTTGGTTGTAACTAGGAAAATTCTCATGGACAATTTATGTAACTTGAGAAACAACTTGATTCCAAATACGACTGTGCATCTTCCTACTGAATCGATTTTATAACCACAGGTTGCCAAACATATTCCTTTTTTCTTTCATCGCTCCTCTGATACAAGTATAACAGAAATATCGATCGACTGCTATGATAGGTACCTTTGCAATCATACAACAAAAAGGGTCGTGAGTTCTCCGATTAAACTTCTGGTCATTTGCATGAGTGATTAAGTGTAAGAACAGTGCCGACCCAATACCCATGCGAGTGGGGCAAAGGCCCAGGGCAGCAGGCATAATAGGGGCATAAGTTTAATCGAATTGCAGTACATATATCATTTAGGCCCAAAATAGTTTACAACCTTGATTTATGGCTTAGCGTGAACGCGAAAAGATTGAAGAGGTGGCTACTCCTTTCGTGAATCGACACCTAAGGCAACGAAACATCAAGTAGTACCCTGTAGAAGACGAGGATGAAGAGTCGACTGTCTACACTTCTGTCGACAAATTTCCACAGATTGGAGAAACCAATAAGCAAAGAACCGATTACCCCTAGATAAGTAGATAAAGCTCTTTAATCTTATTTCCAATTTCTCAGTCTCTCTTATAAGTCCATGCGATTTTTTGAATGAAGAAGACAAAAACGTATTTCTAATTTCTCAGTTATCTAATCTCTCTTTTTAAAACACTGTTGCATTTTTAGAATCAGTGATCTATTTCCCTAATTCTTAAGTTAGAGTTCAAAGTTTGCTTCACTAGGTGTTTTTTGTAGTTCTGATTGCCGAAAGTATGGAGTTCTTATATTCAATCTAAGTACTTGTTTTTCTGGTATTATGTTTAATCTGATATCTTATTTTTAGCTATTCAAGAAGTACAATTCCCAACCATTCAACACTTGAAGAGGTATAATTTACATCTATTCATTCATTGGGAGGTTATAATATTTGGGAGGTTATAATATTTAATGGTTGAGCATCAATGTATGAATTCATTTAATGGTTTTCGTGACAAGTTTTGGTGTTGAAAATGCAACAGTGTTTTAAAAAGAGTAAACACTAAAAATGGTCCATGTAGTCTATACATAGAAATGACTCTTGGTCCTGCAAGTTGACTATTTATTTTATTTGAGAAAAATGTTCCTTTTTAATATTAGGTTGTGTTTGAGTTGAGTTTGGGATAATTTGATTTTATTTTCTATTCAACAAAGAGGATATCAAATTTGACTTGGACTTGAATTTAAAGAGGATTTGATTTCAACTCAATTAAGTATGTTTTTTTGGCTTTACAATTGCATTAGAATCTTTAGTGTCATATATTTGAGGGATCTTAATGTTCGCAATTTAAATTCATCATTATGTTGCAACATGAAATTCATTAAGCGAGGATTCAAGTGAGCGGGGAGATGGCTTTAAAAGAAAATGTATGTTTTAATCATTAGTTGTGTTGAATATGAGATGTGTGTATATATATAATATAATTGTATTATTTCTTAATGTAGCTTGTTGTGTTAGATGTGGTTTGTAGAATTTTAGTAAACGCTACATTTTATTGTTTTTTTGTATTAACATATGTATTTTAAATAAAATTCTAGATATTTACTTTAGCAATTATTAATTAAAATGGTCTATATTTAAATATTTCATAGTATACATCATAAATATATCGACTTCACGGAGGTTTTACAGTAAAGTCATAGGGCATCCTTAAATACTTTCGCCTAAGGCATCAAATACCTTTGGACCGACCCTGTGTAAGAAGGATCCACGGATGATAATCATCAGGGAATAGCAACTTGTTGATTCGTATGAGGGAGGTATGAGGAAGAAAAGGTATCCCCATCATCGGTTAGTAACATTCATCAGTGGTTACGTACAAGAGAGAAAATGAAAACAACGTTGTCCTAGGTCTGCTTGTTATTCCCGTAATACCACCATAAAGAAAATATGAGAGAGAGAGCGAGAGAGAGTCAACAACAACAATGAGAGGCAGGTTGCTGCCAAGTTCTGGGGTGAGTTCGGTCAATTTGTTGAGAGAAGTTGCTACTTTTCCATATCAAACTGGTGATTTGAATGTTGAACAAACTCAAAAGAAAGGCGGATATAGTCCTTAACATATATGACAGAAGGAGGAAGAATGGGGGATACGTAAGACTCATTACTAGTACCAAGATGGTAGAATGTATACAACACCATAATACCAAAAGTCAGTACATGCATGTTTGTGATGAGTATGGTGTTGGGAAAAGATGTGTATATGGTGTGATTAAAATGAATGTAACATATTTGTTAATTTAAATTTATCGAATAGCCATTCTAAATAATAAATTATTGATAACTTTGAATTCAAAGGGTATCTTACTTTTATAAATTTATAACTTATATTATATACAATATTAATAAAAAATAAAAAATAATATTATATAAAAGTAGTAATGGTATATTAGTCTTTTTAGTTCTATCGGGGACCAGACATGCAACATAAATATATTATAGGGATACAATAGGACCGTCCGACCAAGTTAAAAAAATAAGTTAGAAACCTGTAATTTATCCGAAACCACAAGGGCCATTTGTTTAATTTACTCTTTAATTAGTTAGTATTTGATATTTTTCATGTATATAAATGGTATAGAAAAACTATCATTTTTACCTTACTGTTAGCATAATGTTTTATAGAAACGTATTTTACCTTACTGTTAGCATAATGTTTTATAGAAACATATTGTTTATGAGAGCAAGGGTTTATATGAGAAGCTAAAAGTTAATTAACTAAAATGATACAATCTAATCTAAGTGTTATGAGAACATCTCTAATAGTAAACCTATATCATAAATATAAAAATATTGACTACTTTATTTTTGTGGACCTGTAATTAAATTGTTTCTTTAATGGTTAAACTTTTTTATGATTTTTTTTTTATTTTTTATTTTTTATTTTACTATTTTATACTTATCTATCTAAAATATTATATAACTCCCTCATTTAACTAATCGCTTTCTAAACACATCATATTTTACTATAAACATTCCTTCACGTACAAACGATTTACATATTACTATAACTTATATTTATATATTGTATATTTGTTAATCTATAAATTTTAAATAAATAATAAATAAATCAAAGTAAATCAAAGGTAGAAAATGAAATAATTTTAAATAGATAGGGGTTAATTGTTCAAATCTTTAAATTATATTGCCCACTCAACATATATTGAGTGGTCAATAAAAATAACCAAATAAGTCATATACTCCAATGATGTTTAATTATTTTGATCACTTAAGCAAATAGTAATAACTTATAAAAAAAACTCACCATTAGAGACGCTCTTACATTAGCTTTTATTTGCTTATTAAATAAGTTGATTAAGCCTAAACTAATCTATTATATTTAGCATTTCGTCATGGATTAAAGGAGAATACAAGAGCAACAAGTAGAGTAATTTTACAGCAACCAAATGTGAGTAAGATTTTTTTGAACACACATTCCTAAAAGATTTTATTTTTGTGTCTACGTAGCATGTGTTATGATTTTTTTTTTTTATTAATTATATTATACGTTGCTATGATATGATTGATATTTTATGATCGTATATGTATTGATTACGCGATATGAAGTCACTATAAGTTTCTTATGAATTTAGTTGAATATATGTAGGAATTGATTACTTCTGTTAAGCACATGTTAAGATTCAGGAGTGGTTTTCATAATTTCCATGAGCTTGATTTTTTTACTAGCATTAAGCTATTTCAATTTAGGACAAAAGATTCAGAAAATCAATATTAAAATGGTGATGATGGCATCTGTATATATGTTCATCACTGGTGGTTGTTGGAAAAGATACACAAAGGTAAACAGAGAGTTAGAGGGGGTTATTAATCTTATAGGGAGTAGTGAAGAAGGTGATTGGGTTCCTTTAATATTTTAATTTCAAAAAACATTAAAAAATTGATTAAAGAAGAAATTTCAATTAAAAGTGCCCTAAACCCTTGACACTTAATTTCAATTTCAATTTGAATAAATATTTTATCAACAAACATTATCAGTGATGGTTCTCGGACAACATAGACAGGGAGGAGGAGGAGGGGGCTATTAAAATATTGATTAAAGAGGGTGTTTAGGTCTTTTTTAATATTTTAATTTCAAAAAACATTAAAAATATTGATTAAAGAGGAAGTTTAAATTTGAAGGGCCCTTAACCCTTGACACTTAATTTCAACTTCAATAAGAACCTCGTACACAACAAAACATTATCAAAATGAAGAAATTTGCAAGTTTAAAACTTTTTTTGCGGTATAGTCAAATAAACTATTCATACCATTTTTGCTCTTTACTTTTTGAATATTGGCCCTAATAGACATGAGAAGAAACAACGTTGCTAGAGAAAGGTGGAAAAAAGAACATTTTTTGTACATTTTACCAATAAAATGATTAGCATGTTAAAATCCAAGAAACCATATATGTTTTGCTAATTAAATGAAAAACATGTTAAAATGCCAAAATTTTAATCGAATAACATGCTATTCATCTTTTCATTATATTTATACACATAAGTCATTTGTTTATATAATTGGAACTCCATGCTATAACTTCGACACAAAATTTTGTTACCTTCTTTCTTCACAAACCACATATATACATTTGGAGCTTCTTCTAATGGAGTTTTCTACATGTTGTTGGTCCATTACAATCTTCATAATGATTTTGCAGGTGTTATGGAATACTAGCATGCATGTGAATGGATGCTATACGACCATCTTCAGCTTTGGCGACTCCCTGGCCGACACTGGAAACATTAAACAAATCGCCTCCATATCCCACACAGACGTTGAGGCTCTACGGTGGCCTTACGGTGAAACCTTCTTTCATCAACCCACGGGTCGTGCCTCCAATGGTCGCCTCTTAATCGATTTCCTAGGTAACTCCTCTATGTGTTTGAAGCTAATAACTATCAAATGTGGCTAGTAATGGTTGAGCCCTAGCTTGAACAACTTATATTTTACAATAAACAACTAGATTTGATTGAACATGTATATAATTGGTTTATCCCATATTAGACTCGACTCATAGTAATTTTGTTTGATTGAAGATTCAATTTTACTTATGTTTTAAGGTATGTCTATATGATAAATCAGATTGTAGTTGTCAGTACCATTGCATATATACATGAAATTTCATGCATGTGTTGACAAATACCTAAAGCATTTCATCGACCACGTTCCTCATACCAGTACCATTTCATATATACTTTTTGTTTCCGTGATTATCATAATTTGATATTGATTTCTTTGTATCAACCCTTGTAGTGGATTTAGATATCTGACATCTTGTAAATACTATCTAATAAACTATCTAGGTCATGTTCTAGGGGAATAAATTTTGATATTTTGTTCTTCCTGAAGCTGAAAGTCTTGGGTTGCCATTGATACCACCGTTTCTACATGACAAAGAGGATGACAAAGTGGTGGAATTTGGACAAGGAGTTAATTACGCGGTGGTGGCTGCAACAGCATTGGATACATCATTTCATGAAGCAAGAGGGGTTGTTAATGCGGTGGCAAATGTTTCTTTAGGAGTTCAATTGACATGGTTTAAACAATCATTGCCTTTTATTTGCAGCAATGCCTCAGGTAATCAAGCATACATATGTGCTTCTAATGTATACACTTTTGCTAAGCATATGTGTATATAATATTTGTTATATATTAGGATTATAATTTTCTAAAAGGTCATAAGATTCATGTTTATAATTTTGAGATTCAGTTAACAGTGTACAATGAGTACTTGTGTTGATTATAATTGTTGGCAGATTGTAGAAACTTAATTGGGCGTTCTTTGATCCTAATGGGAGAGATTGGTGGAACCGATTACAATAATCCAATAGTTTATAATAAACCAATCGATGAGCTCAATTCATACGTTCCACTTGTTATTGATACCATCATCTCAGCAATTAATGTAACTACTCAAATCATTCAAACTATATTTTGAATTTTCACTACCAACAACTTACCATGCATTCACAAATTTCTTTTTCTATTTTATGATTTTATCATGGGGTTGACTCTAATAGTTTTAAATACAGGAACTAATTAATCTGGGGGCTCAAACATTGGTTGTTCCAGGAACCTTTCCAATTGGGTGTTCTGGTATGATTCTAACAAGCCATTTTTTTGAAAAAGAAGAAGAGTATGATAACAGAACCGGTTGCCTCATCAAGTTCAATGCACTTGCTGAATACCATAATGAACTGTTGCAAACCAAAGTAAACCACCTTCAGGAGCTTCATCCGAATGTCATCATCATCTATGCTGACTACTACAATGCTGCCATGCAGATTATCCGTTCTCCCGATAAATTTGGTACTTTTTTTTCTTGAACAGTCAGATTTATATTAAAAGGAAAACGAAATCATAACAAAAAGAAAAATTACAAAGCCACACAACCTACGAAGTTAAAGTGTCTAATAGGAATATAAATACACCACTGATAGGCTAACATATCATTCACGTATGACCACATAATCCAATACTATGCAAACCCCAAACCTTTTCTTGTTGCAAGAATCTAGTTTATAAGAAGATCAGGGTATAAAATTACTTTGATCAATGAGAGTTGTGAAACACTTTCAGATTAAAGCATTTTGAAGGTACACTCGAAACTCTCTAGTCGGATGAAACTCATTGTTAAGAAGATGTTATGAAAATCTATACCTAATATGATTTTGAAATTAATCGTATAACAGGAAATAATGCCCTGCCTTAAAACTTCCAAACAACAATTTTTTGTCTTAAACGGTCATATACTAACTTAAAAAACCGGTCTGAAAATGGATCACAAATCCAGCTGTATTTAAAAACATAAGGATTTTTGAGGCATTTTTTTATATAGCAACATAACTCATATAAAAATTTCAACTCGACCCCAGATAGAGGCTTTTCCCCTTGGACCCTGCCAGATTTATATTCAAAGGAAAACCAACCCAGAAAAACAATGAAAATTACAAAGCCACACCACTTGCAAAGTTAAACAGTCCAATAGGAATACAAGTATGCAAACCCCAAACCTTTTCATGTTGCCAAAATGGAGTCTCCCCGATGTTTCGTGCATCATAATGCCCAGTCTAGTGACTGACATACCCATGATAATCCAAATAGCTCACAATCAGATATTTTTGAGTGTTAAAATGATGCTCGATAAAGAAACTTTTTTTTGGACCTTGAAAAACCATCAAGTAGTATCTGAAATGTGATCACACCATTTTATCACATAGAGACTTAACAGATGATAACAACCAAAGATCAATTTGAGACTCTACTACAGTAAGCCATGGAGTATATTTAGCCAATCTTGTTCACGTAAAGGAATATACACAACACCAAGTTTTCCCAATTTCCAAAATCTTCCAAACACAAACAAAATAACTTTTTAACATGAAAAGTATATCAATCACACCAACACCCTTTGATCTCACAATTAAGATTGCACCCCAAAACATAAACACATTATATGAATTCCAATGTATCCAATCCACCACGACCCATGTTCCAAATAATGAATGTGCATTCTATGATTACTTGTTGAAATATCTTCATATAAAGATTTTCTAACAAATAGAAGAGTACAGCAAACTCGATGCATCAAGAAACGATAACACGAAGAATCAATTCTTTTACATTCCTAAATAAATGAAGTATTCTTTACTCTTAAATTGATAACCACTTACAGTTGTTGAGACGTTGAAAATATAATCGAACGAATCCACATTACCTGGAAGGAAATTAAACCCAACAACTTGACACCTCTACCCACATATGCGAAGCCTGATATTGTCTCTCCAAAAGAGCTCTTGTGTATAGAATAGGGACTCTAACATATATGGCCACTTTAATTACCGTGTTGTACCGATGTGGGATATACTAACACTCCCCCTAAGAGTCGTAGGCTTGATAAGGATAGAAAGGGACGTGTTAGGCCAAGGGGGTGCTGATCAACAACTTTGATACCATGTAAATATATGTGAAGCCTAATATTGTCTCTCCAATAGAGCTCTTATGAAGAGATTGGGGACTCCAACATATATAGTAACTTTTGTTACCATGTTGCACCGATGTCGGTTACACTAACACTTTGGCACCAAAATTCTTACTAGTGCATGCTCCTTTCTTTCTTCTTCATTCTTACACAAAGGGCAACTATGATCATCAAGTTGTATGCCAATTTAAAGTTGACAATAGTAGGAAGTTGTTTTTTAAGAGTTCTCTAGATAAAGATATTAATTTTTAAGTAAATTACACGAATGGTCCTTATGGTTTAGGGTAATTTACACATTTGGTCCCTAACTTATTTTGTTAACTCAGAAGGTCCCTACTGTTTGTTTTTGTTACACACTTGGTCCCTACTGTTTGTTTTTGTTACACGTTTGATCCCTATCTTAGCTAAAAAGACTTTTATTTAAATAGGTAAAAATGGTGGGATAGGTAAGGTAAGGTGAAGAGTGTGAGATTAGGGGTGTGTTTATTTAAATAAATCAAAAAATCAATGGCAACATAGGCTTTTTAGGTAAGTTAGGGACCAAGAGCGTAACAAAACCAAAAAGTAGGGACATTCCGAGTTAAAAAAATAAATTAGGGACTAAACATATAAATTACCGTAAACCATAGGGACTATTCGTGTAATTTACTCTTAATTTTTCTATGGATCATGTTATTCCACTTCCACTTTGCACAACACCCATGAAAAAGCATGTCATTTCATATGCCGTAACGATCCAACCATGAATCTTTTTGAAGGATCAAAAGATTATTTTCCGCAATAGGTGTCTATAGATAGCCTTGCGTTTATGCAAATGTCAGTTATATTATCAAATTCCTCACTAGTCCTTCCAGCCACCTTTTCTTGAACCCCATCCCATGAGGATTCTACCCTTTCACTATTATTTTAATCTTTGGCTCAACTGACAATCTCTATTAGCTTCAATTGCCAAGACTCTTGGAAACAAGTTTGCAAAAGTTGGTTTATCACACAATGTTCTTAGTGGGTAATATAGTGCACGACTTGTAATTGTGTTCACATCCCTTGCATAAATAGCCCAACAATATGTTTGTATTTTGTTACATATTTCTCTTGTAATCCCTAATATCAGCAATGAGAGTGAACCTTTTAAAACAAGGTATCAAAGCTCGTATCTTCCAATAAAATTCCCTATTTTCCCTTTTTTTTCTCGACAACTTCCTCTTTTACTCAAGGCGACACCACCTGCTCCACCTCCTGCCACCATCCTTAAGTCGTCTTTTTCTTATCTTCCAAACAAGGTCTTTGGTATTACCAATATCAAAACTCACATAACCTTGATCCTAGACTAAGATCCATTTAACTTTGATGGTTGGAAAGTACAGTTTTCACCACACTATACTTTTGATATACTGCCCCATGTGGACAACACCATGCCTAAGCCAATGGATGTAGAATGGAAGAATATTGATGCTATTTTGAAACTTTGGACACATGGCACAACCTTTTAAAACCTATCATCAATGTTTTGAAGATCGGTTTCACTGTTAAAGACATAGGTGAATCATGAAGGCTTGTTGTGAGTCAATAAGGATGCAAAAGTTATAGAATTGGATCATAAATTAAGTAATGTGTCCATTAGAGATATTTTGGCCATGAGATCTTCAAAAAAAGAAGACGATGGCTGAATTAATTGAAAATATCGGATCCTCGATACTAGACAAAACATAGTCTTCTTTGTTATTGAAACATCCAAGATCCCAAAGCTAAATTTTTCATTTTAAAAAATAATTAAACATCTATTTTAGCCAAATTACATTCAATTCAGCCCATTTGTTCATAAACCATTATTCGAAAATCGGTAATAGAATGACAATGCGGAATCTCAAATCATAAATCTATAGGTGTATACGTACAGTCCCGCCTTTACAATCCAATAAGTACTTGCAAAATATTTAATCCACAACTGTAAAATATTTAATCTGCAACTATAAGCGCGAAGTTTAGTGAGTTCTAAAAAATATTGCATACTATATGACGTAATAATCGTTAAGTGTGACATCCTCTAATTTTCAGAACCGATTAAAACTTTTCTTTATGCTTTTGAACTTATATTATCATTGGTGCGGAAATTCTTGTTACATTTGAAACATTTTGAGTACAAGTGATTGTCTCAATAAAATCCCAAGAATGTCATAATCCATACAGAAGCATATGCTATAGCATAAAGACCTAATGGTCCTGAACTCTATTGCATGTGGTCTCTTAATCAATCATCTATACTAATCAAGTTCCAGTTGCTTAAGTCTTGATACTTGTGATGTATATAAACTAAGTGGGTAAGGTTGGGAAACATGGATAGATACATAGGGATTTCAATCCTATAATAGTTTCATGATAGTATTCTTTAATTATCAAACCAACAAATCCAACGGTTACCAAATAATATAGATAAGGTTTAAACATTTATAGAACCCTCCACCCATCCTAATTGATCCTCATAGATCCTAGTACATGAGTATTAGGAAGTTTTTATCTCAATTGATGAATCATTTAAGGGTTTCTACTACACATCTAGGGGCCTCCTTGGCTAGTTAAGTCTTAAGACACATGAGTTGTTAGAGCATTTTAATGAATATGTTATTACCATTCATATACTTTTGTAGGTTAGTAGCCCATACAAGCAATGTAATTCCCACAATGCCTAGAATGGACAAGTGTTGTCATCCTACTACGGGGGATGACCAGACATAACACCAATGTATGCTTGATCGGGACACACAATTCTTGGTCATCCCAAGATGGAATACTTATATATACTCCATTACGGAGCTACCGTACATCAAAACTTAAAAGTTTCACGGAACAGGACACTACTCTCCATTCCAATCATACACACATTCTCCTACTAAGACTACCCAAAATCAAAGTTAACCGAACTCAACATCTTCTGTGAGTCTAAGTTTGTGCCTAGACTAGAATACGGTGCATATAACTAACTTCTAGTAAAAATTCTATTCTTAGGAGACACTAACCTATCTTTAGTGTGTGCGTGTATGTGTGTGTGTGTATATATATATATATATATATATATATATATATATATATATATATATCATACGAAGTATTAGGTATTATTATTCAATTTTCTTCTCAACAACGCTACTTATAATATTATTATATAGTATTATCTATTTATATGAACATAGAATAGAATAATATCTAGTTCACGCATAGTATGGTACAAAATATATACATATATCTTAACATATAATCCATGTAATAAGCATATAATTCACATAGGAATTTCAACACATATTTAATACTTCAACTAATACTTATATTAAATCATGTTCATGAAAGGGA